CACCCTTTTTGGGTGGTTATAATTTATGTCACGTTAGAGAAAAAATATATTTATGTATCGCAATTTCATAACGATGCGATTAGTGAGGCTAGATATATAATTCAAGTAAATTCTGTTTAATTATATTTTATCCAAACTACATAAATTTTCTTTACTTAACAGTCCTCATTAAGCAAATAACTAATGCATAACAAAATTTTAGCTTACGGCGCTCCCATCCTTTCCTAGTGATCCAATCTCGCCCTTTGAACCTTTATTCCCCTTGACCCCCTTCATTCCCTGCAATCCCATTGGACCTCTTGGTCCTGTGGGTCCTCTCTCCCCGAATGGCCCCGGACTGCCTGGTTCTCCATCTCGGCCAGGTTGTCCACCTTGCCCAAGGGTTCCAACACTTCCCTTTGGACCCTTAGCACCAATTGCACCGGGAGATCCAACTTCCCCTTGAGCCCCAGGTTCGCCTGAGCGGCCATCTTCTCCTCGTGGTCCTGGTTGGCCTCGCTCACCTGGGGGGCCTGGAAGACCTTTTATATAGACAGTGTTTCCAAAAGGGCTCACTTGCTAAATGTTTTAGAGTAAAGTCACGAAAGAAATGATGAATAGGAAAAATAAAATGTTTATTGTATAAGGTATTTAAGAAATTTCAGTAAAGAATTTTAGGAACTACAAAAAATACTAACTTTTTAGGTGCAACGATATTTAGATAATTTTATTTTGTCCTTCTTTCCAGCAAAATTATAAGCTAATATATGTAAAATTTGATTCTTACATTCCGTGTATCTCTACTAGACAAATGGTAATTTGCTAATTTACCTTTAAGTATCCAGTCAAACGTGATAATTTCCAGTTGAATTAATTTTGAGTGTCCTTTAACTAGTTAAATTTATTTATTTTACTCATTAAAATGATAAAGCTAAGTTGAGTTTGGATTGCCCGGAGATAAGGTAAAGACTTTGAAAAATTACTGAGTAATTAATGACGAATATATTAAGTATAAATTTAAGTGGAAAAGGATGTTAATTTAATATAACACAATTGGTTGTTCCCTTCTGCGAGTGCTGCTGCTGGAATTTCATCAGGAGTAGAAACGCATAAGTGATCATATAAAATATATAATTTAAATTTCCAGTTAATTAACTCAGGCTGAATTGACTGCAAATAAATCTATTTATAGCGAATTTTATTAGTGTAAATATTTTCAGAATTAAATATGCTCTCATGAATAAAATCTTTCTATATCGAACATCTAATGTATATGTATGGGTGTGATGTATTTACCTTTTGTTTTATAGGCAGGCTATAAAGTATATAAGCTATAGAATGAGGCAGTTAATAATTTATATGGTATCTATTTAGGACAATAA